CACACTGTGATAGATTTATTTTGGCAGCAGTAACCTACCACAAGAACTCAAAGATGAGATATTCTCCCATAGCAACATTTAACTATTTCTCTGTTTAGCTAGGGATTCAACTTTTTATTAGTCATTTCCATTTTGTCATTTCCAGCTCAAAGATAATTTCTTTTAGAAAGAAAAAAAAACAAGCAAAGAACATCAGTCACAAGCAGAAGCAAAATAACAGTTGAATGGATTGTCTTTCTCTCAGAGAAGCTTTGCTTTCTGTACTTTTCTTTCATTGGCTAAATCTTGTAGATTTTATTTCTGCAACCTGTCTTTCATCTGTCCGCTAGAATCCCCTCAGGTTCTTTCATTTCCACCTAGCCAGTGAAATAGTCTCCTAATTTATCTCTCTGATTCCATATTTTCCTTATGCAGTCGCTTCAAATCATAGCTATGAAAATGATCCTTTGTGTTAGGCTTTGTGAGTGAAGAGGAGACTAATGTGTAAGATTATGGGAAGGTAGTAGTAACATGATTTTTCCATGGTATGTGGGGACTGGTGAGGAAAAAATTAGAGAGTGGAGTGACTGAGTGAGAGGATGACATGAATAGAGAAATTTGGAGCAGTTAAAGATTTAAAGGGGAAGTTGGGTTCCATTTTGTATCTGTTTAATTTGAGATGATAATGGGATGCCAAAATGGAAACATCCAGTGGATAGGTGGCAATGTAGACCTCAGTTTTAGCGGAGAGACTGGTCTGGATGAATAGATTTGGGAATTCCTGGCATGGCCCTGGTATACTGTCCAATTTTCACAAACTTGTAATAATGAGGTCAGCACAATGGCTCTATAGATCTTTAGTTTAATAGTCAGTCTAATACATCTTCTTTCGCACACTTTCCTTTTGAGCCTCCCAAACACTGAGCTAGCTCTGGCAATGCTTGTGTTAACCTCATCATCAGTATGTAAGTTCCTAGAAAGTATACAGCCAAGCTAAGCGAATTTATCCACAGCATTCAAAACTTCTCCATTTGCTGTAACCACTGGTTCTGATGGGGTGGGCACCAGCCAAGATCTTAGCCCCTTGTCCAAAAGGGAATCTGACTCCCATTTGTTTACAGGCCCAAGCCCCTCATCTCCCTTTGAAAGCCTTAGCCTACCTTTTGATCTTATTCAGATGTGCCTTTGCCCCTTGCACTAAAAAGAATCTGGCTCCCTTTTGTCTATGGGACCCAGAAAGCCCTTACTCTGGTCTCAAATGGTTCCTTTGGACTCCCCTCGTTGACTCTCCTTATCTCCCTTTGAAAGCCCTAGCCCCATCTTTTGATCTTATGCAGATGCCTTCCAGTTCCCTTCATTATCTATTCCCACTGTCTATTCAATCTCTCAGACCTGCCAATTGGAATTCTTACCTAGACCCTTTTCCCAGCCCCCTCCTCTGGCCACCCAAAATTACTTTATAACATCTACCCTGGCCCCCATTCAGATGCTGAGAACTTTCATGCCCAAAAAGCTGAGACTTTCTCATGCCTGCTAGTACTCACCAGCGTCACCTGGCCTATGTGTTTTATCACTAATAAACTTTTTCTCTGGCTGGAAAAAGATTTGAGTTGAATTCTTTCAGGCAGGGCCTGGCATTGCAATCTTGGGAGTTCGCAGCAGCACCCCACAAACCTCTAGACCTCTTCAGTTCCATGTAAGGGTGGTGTGGTGCTGGCTGATGACGTACCTGTGTTTCTTTGGTGTCAGTTGTTAGACCAAAACTAGCACAAGCAGCAGAGAATCCATACTTTGTTTCATCTCAGCTTCAGAAGCTGCGTTTATCAGTGAATCAAAGGAATAGATGAGATTATTTAGACTAAAAAAAACGGTCCAGGATAAAGCCTTGCTGGACACTAGTACGTAGTGGGAAGGAAGAGGCATGATCATTTTACAAAGGTGATTGAGAAGGACTGGACAGACAGGTAGGAGGAGGACCAAGATAAATTATGACAGGAAAACAAGGAACCTTCCATTGTTCTACAGCTTCCAAAAAGTCAAAACTCTAGTTTCAGATACAGACCACAAATCTTGACTTTCTTTTCCCTTATGAGTCCTGGGAGGGATGTCTCTCACCCAGGGAAGCAGCCTCATTTAGAAACAAACAAAGCAACCTAAAGGCTCCCAATTAGCTTTTTAATAGCATAGGTGGGATTAGTCAAACCACCTAAGGCTGTCAATAAATTCTGCTTTTACAGACTCTGCTGAAAACTGGGGACAATGCTTTTAGCAGCCCTGAGGCATGTATGCCCTCAGGCAGGCACCACTTTCCCTAGCTAGTCAGAAGTGAGATAGGAAAGGAGGAAAGATTCCTGTAGTAGCTGTGTTAGGTTATGTTGAATTAACACAGTTTTAAAGATTTCTATTAATACTGCAACTTCACAGCTCAAGATCACTTTCAACTGGCAGATTTCATTAGTATGTCACTGGAGTATCTTATATATGCAGCATGGCTGCAGCAATGGCTTTTCTACAGTGGAAAAAAGTAAGCTACCTAGAAATTCTGACTTGAACTGTGATAATTCACAAATAGAGGCCTCCTTTCATCCAATAAAAGACAGAGAGAGTCTAAAGAGGGTTCTCCTTTACTCCTCATCTCCCTCAACTCATCTCTTCAGTTAAGCCACATTCTCCAGGAATATGTGGGGATGGTGTAAAAGGTCACTACTGGACCTGGCATAGCATTCTACTACCCACAGAATGAGGTGAGGGAGAATTGATGTGTGTGGGACAAGTCAATGTCTCTACTACAGGAGAAATGGGTAGTATCAGGTCCATGGCACTGCTGTATGTCATCTCTCCCCTCAATCCTTAAACTTGCTCTGTTAGTCTTCCTGTAATTTGAACCAACCCCTCTGTGGTAGGAACAGTATCCCAATCTCTGTTTTAAAGAAAACTAGAATAGTTGTTTGTTCTCTCCCCTTAAAAGTTATTGAGATCTTCCTCCAGACTTGGTTGGCTTAGGGGATTGACATCATTTCCTGGTTGCCTGAATACAAAGCTGCCATGAGAAGCTCCAGGAACATCCTGATGTTTGGCTGGTGGGTCTTAATGGGTCAATCTGACACAGTACATTTGCTGAATTGAATCAACACAAAGTGTCTTCAGTGTCTATCCTTGAATATCCTTCTGTTTTAGCTAAGCAATTCTCTTTGTGTAAACTATTGAATGACCTACAAGCTTCTTATTTTGTTCCATTATCAATCTACAATATCAAGAAATGGGCTCATGTCAAGCCCATCCTAGAACAGTTGGTGATATCTTGAAGAATTGAAATAGAACAAACTCTGTGAAGTGAGGGATGTGTGGTGAAGAGGATGATCAGCCCGAATTGGCCTTCCTGATTGAGGTGGTACTTTTGGTGATGACACTAGAGATTTCGGTTGCTTCTAGAGAGTTACCTCTCACTTCTAGGAAATTAGAGAGTAAACTATCCGTGGCCTGTTAGAAAAAGAGAGAGAGAGAGAGAGAGAGAGAGAGAGAGAGAGAGAGAGAGAGAGAGAGAGAGAGAGAGAGAGAGATTTGATTAGATTTGTGATTTCATTTGTTTATAGAACTCTCAATGGGAAAAAACAAAACCAAAACCAAAACCAAAACCTTCTGACAATGCAAATTAGCACCTGTTCTATAACTTATAATCTGACAGTTATACATGAGGGCACTGAGGTTAAGTGATTTGTCCAAGATCTCAGAGCCAGTCTCTATCATATGAAGGACTGGAACCTAGGTCTTTCTGGTTCTGAGGGTCAGGTCCCTAATATCAGAAGCACCATTGCTGCTTCTGGAATTAGATGATATTACTGCTGAAAAAAACAAAACAAAACAGATAGAGATACATCAATTACAACTGATCCTTAAGCCTATTCTCTCACCTCTATAAATTTTTAATGGGAACAAACTATGCATATGTGCTTGATGAAATATGAGAAGGGAAATAGCAGGTTTTTCTTTTTCTTTTTTTTTCAAAACAGTATTCTCTAGGAGATCACATCTTTGCAATACATGCACAATGGACTGAAAAGTACAGAAAATATCAGATCTCACTGTGCTTATTGTTTGTTGACTATTCTTAAAGAACATATTTTTTATTTGGAAGAACAAATATGACACCTTACAAGCTCTTCTTCAACTATGGGTCTCCTATGAGTACACTAAAATCATTATGTTTCCATGATATATATCAAAACAGCTAATGTTTAATTAGAGAATTATAGGTTTAGAGCTAAAGTGACTTTAGAGGCAATCAAGTGCAACCTTCTCATTTTTTAAGTGATAAGAAAATGATCCTTTATAAATATCAAGTGAAGTGTAAAACATGAAGACATATGCTATCCATGGTTGCTTTCCTTTGTCATGGGGGATTTTCAGAGTGGACTCCAAATGGTAGAAATATATATATTTTTAATTATTTAGTGCCATACCAATCATGCTACCAAAAATATTTAGAACTAATGAATTAATTAATTTTTAGTTTTCAACATTCACTTCCACAAGATTTTGAGTTTCAAATTTTCTCCCCACCCCTCCTCTCCCCCCACCTCAAGATGGCATGCATTCTGAATGCCCCTTCCCCCAGTCTGCTCTCCCTTCTATCACCTCCCCGCCCCCTGTTCTCTTATCCCTTTCCCCTTCTATTTTCTTATAGGGCAGGATAGTTTCTATATCCCATTGCCCATATATTTTAATTCCTAGTTATGTGTAAAAATGATTTTTAAGTTTTGTTTTTAAAGCTTTGAATTCCAAATTCTCTCCTTTCCTCCCTCCCCACCCACTTTCATTGAGAAGGCAAGTAACTCAATATAGGTTACACATGTGTAGTCATGCAAAACACTTCGATAATAGTTATGTTGTAGAAAACTATATTTCCTTCCATCTTATCCTGCCCCCCACACCCCCATTGATTCTATTTTATCCTTTGACCTTGTCAATCCTCAAAAGTCTATGCTTCTGATTACCCTCTCCCCTGGTAAGAGTATTTCTTACCTATGATGAAGTACTTCATATGCTACTCTTGATAGATGATAAGCTAGTTCCATCAAACCCTACAGAAATACATAGTCTCTTAATTGAAAATCATGGCCACTCAGGGACTATGTAGCTAATAAGCTGAAGAAGAAAAATCAGGAACATAAAGCATTCCTCTTTTCCATTTTCTGCCATGAAGAAAGTTAACATATATATATGTGTGTGTGTATATATATATATATTATATATGTGTATATACATAATATATATGTACCCCCCACATATATACATATACACACACACACATACATATATACACACACATATATATATATATATATATATATATATATATATACACTTCTGATAGGGAATGAATGTGGTTTATAATTGAAAAGGAGGACAAGAATACATTGGTTTTCATTTGGGAAGTGGCAGAAAATTTTCATTGACCAAGATTTTTTTCTGTGAAACAAACAAAACATCCCTCCGTATTGCATCAATATACCTATGGTGTTACTATGTGGCTGCAAATTACATAATATTACTGGCTCCAAAGAGTCAAAATTGTGGAATTGAAGGTCATCCAAAGGACAACAAAGAGCTCTATTGTGGGTGTGAACCGGCTGGAATATATGGCTAACCTGCATATACCCAACAATGATTTGCACGTGAGAAATTGTCGAAAGGATGTCATATAAAAGATTTATGATTAGAAAAGTTTGTTTGTTGCTTATGTAGCATGAGTGAAGAATAACAGATAGAAAGGCCACATAACAAACTGGTATTGCTATAATATTAAAAAACTCAAAGGAGGGTACTTAGTTCACTAGTTGTACTCCCAGAGGTTTTGTGGAAGTATGTTGACAATAATTGCACATGGATGTTTTTTATCTGTACCGTAGTATCTTCATGAGTGAAATAATGACAATAATAATGACATGTTAACTTTGATATTATATTAATTACCACATTAATATTATTAATTATTGTGTTGTTAATTATATTAAATACATTAATAGAGACATTATTATCTGTTATTACATAATCTACATAATACTATCTCTACGATGATGATATTAGTTGTACAGTACTTTAAAGTAAGCAAAGTGCTTTAAGTAAGTTGTCCCATTTAATCCTCATAATAATCCTGGGAGATATATGCTATTATTATCTCATTTTACAGATGGAGAAACTGAGACTGGCAGAGATTAAGTGACTTGCCCAGAGACATATAGCTGGTAAGTGTTAGAATCTAAATTTGAATTCAGGTCTTTTTCACTCCAGACCCAGGGCTCTATCAATTGTGCTACCTAAGTGCCTCAAAACAAACCCATTGAAACGTTAAAGTCTTCATATGCACAGATACACTCATATATAACATTGCAAGTAAACAAGTATATTTGGTTATGACATTTATCAAGGAATCATGTATGTGTTTATATATATATATATACATACATATATATGTAAACCTCTGATCTGAAGAAAAACACATTTTACATTGGAGGTGAATGTTTGCCCATCTGTAATGTACTTCTTAACCTAGACAGCCAAATTAAAACATCTCTGAGTTTAGAATAATAGTTCTCCATACTAGAGAATGTAGGGAATAATCTTATTAACAACTCAGGTGGAAAATACAGGCAAACTTGGAAGTATGTAAGCAATCTTATTAAAAAATGCTGGCTATCTGGTACTTGCAGCCAGGATCTGCCTTATCTTAGTTGGAATACACAGGTATTTCTATTCTGCGATTTGAGGGTGTGGCACAGGTCATACAAAAAAAAAAGATTTTCTTCTAATGTATATTCTTTTATTAGTTCAGCTAAGAAGTAATGCCATTCCAATGGTGGTGGGATAGGGGCAACACGAACTAAATATAAATTCTCCTAATTTACAAGAAATGGGGAGCATGCACATTAAGGAGCATGCATAACAGATATCTTTAACTCAAAAGAATGTAAGCTCTCAAAGATAGTAGTTATTTCATTTTTCACAGAATTTGAGAGTTAGAAGGGATATTAATCTATATCTCTATTATAACATATCCAGCCTCAGCTTGAGGGGAGAAACTCTTTCCAGGGAGAGGAATTCTTCCTCTCCTTGCAATCTTAATTATTCCTAGTACATAGTAAATATTTAACAAATGATTGTTAAATTAGAATTTATAGGTAGACATGATTCTTCTAAAACAAGTCAGAGTTGCTTTCTGTCTTAATCAGCCTCATTGACCACTATTCCAACGATCTAGTTTCTTTCCTTTGATGCTTGAATTTTTTAATTCCTAAAAGATTTTGACAAGACATCACCCTCAGCATTGTTTTGGCCATCTTCTCCTTTACGATTTTCTCTCCTGCTGGGATTTTGTGATAGTGTGGTTCTCTTCTGTCCTGCACAAACCTTCTCAATCTCCTTTCAAGGGTTATTATCTGTGTCTAATGCTTTTCTGCCATAAGTTTACTCCTGAGGCATGTCCTACGCTCCCTCATCTTTTCTCTCTCCACTTTCTCAAAAATATTATCAGTTCCCATAGCTTCTATTATTATCTCAGGCAGCTAAGCAGCCCAGTCTTAAGAGGTGGTCTTATAGTCAGAGTGACAAGAGTTCTTATTGTTCCTTAGACACTAACTGTGTGACTCTGACAACTCACTTAACACGTCTCAGGGTCAGTGTCATTGTCTGTAAAATGAGGATAATACTAGAACCTACTTTGCAGCTTTGTTGTGTGGACCAAATGAGAAAACATAGGTAAAGCATTTTGTAAACCTTAAAGTGCAATGTAGATGGTAGTTATTATCATTATCTTTTTGAAGATGAACCAAATCTATGTATGCAACCCTCATTTCTCTCCCAAGTGTTGTTCTCACATCTTCAATTGCCTCTTTGATTTTGCAACCTCAATAACTCTTATGTATCTTAAACTCAGCATCTCCAAAGGATTATCTTTCCCTCAAATCTGATTGGCTTTCTAACTCATCCCTTTACACCGGTTCAAAATGTGTGATTCATTCTCAACTCATCACTGACTGATATTCTTTTTCTCTGATAACCCAATGGTATATCAATTCTAACTCCATAACACCTGACTCATCTGTCCTTTTTCATATAGTCATATAGTCATCACCATTAGCCATTTATCATGTCCTGCCTAGACTATGGCAATACTCTCTGAATTGAGTTCTCTACTTCCTTTACAATCAAATTAATATACCTATAGTTCTATCTACTTATAACTCCAACAATTTTTGTCTGCTTATACTTTTTCTGACATACAGACTTTACATTCTGGATCCTAGCTAACTTGCTTTTCCCTGTATAAGGCATTTTATCTCTGGCCTCCTTACTTTTGCATTTCAGGAATGTTTTCCCTCTTTCCCTCTTCTCTTCTGACTTTTAACTTTTTAAACTTTTAATTCTTAACTCCCTTAAAGGCTCAGATTGATGTTTACACTATTCAAGATAACTTTTTTGATATCTTTAATTTATATTCTCTCCCTCTTCAACCCTAATCACTTTTTTAAAAAATGTAAGCTCTATGGGGGCAGACTTTCACTTTTGTGTTTACATCCCTTCCAGAGACCAGCACAGTGCATGTCAAATAATAGGCATTTAATAAATTGTTATTCATCGACAGGCTAGTTAATACGAAAGCTGTAGTCAAACTGAATCTATACTTTAGTGCTTGGCAGGATTGGGCCAGAGAGAGGGACTTGGAACGTTTCACCTACTTAAAATTTTACCTGGGAGGGGCAGCTAGGTAGTGCAGTAGATAGAGCACTGACCCTGAAGTCAGGAGGACCTGAGTTCAGATTCGGCCTCAGACCAAAGACTTGACACTTAGTAGCTGTGCGACCCTGGGCAAGTCACTTAACCCCAATTGCCTAAAAAAAATTTTAAAAAATTGCCTTGGAATTGTCTTATCTTTAGCTATATTGAAGAAAAGAGGAAATTGTAATATGGTCATTTTTATCCTCACAAATCTATATAACTAGTGATATGTTGTTCACCCTTTTGTCTAAGCAAACTAGTGTAGCAAGCAGGTTTTCAATCCTCCCAGAGCCAGAGTAGCTCTATTTACCTTTCAGGTTTCTTAGGTACCTAGAGGATATTTTTTTTGGGGGGGGGTGAGAAGGGGACAATTGATGATAGAAGGTGTATCTTCTCCATTGCCATTGACTTGAGCCTTCTCTGTGTGATCCTCTGGTTATTTCCCCACATAATCAGATACTAGTGATTAGTACCTCAGTGATTTAACCCTTAAATATCAATTAACTTTTACAAAAGAATACTTACTTTAAAGATATGGCAAAATCAAAGTGAAAACATCTTTCCCCAATAAGTCAGGGGTGAACAACTCATTTCCTACATAATATTGTTCCCACTAAGTTCACACACAGATGCGTCATGGCATCCTTTTCTCAGTTACCACTGCACTGAATTTCCAAAATTCACTCCCAAAGGTCACGTTTGCTCTTCAAGGGATCAATGCTGTTCTGGAAGCCAAACCAGACTCGGATGCTGGGATGCCAATATGTCTTACTGACCTTTCCAAACTCATAAAATCAGAGGTTCTACCCTCTTAACCTAGAACCTAAAGAAATCTAAAAGAAAAGGCAATAGACAAAAATATAGTCCATTTCACAGAACCACATGTCCTTAGAGAAAAGAAACTCCAAGTATTCCCTCCTGATCACACTGTCTATGACTGTATGCGATGACTGAAGGATTCAGCAAGATCCCCCGAGGAGCCAGGTTGGAGAAAAGGAGACTGAGGTTGGCTCAGAGCAAATTCAGCCTTTCTAAAAACTCCATGAGAGCCATTTATACAGCAAATTGACATGAGCTCTTCTTAAAGAGTTAGTTAAAAGCCAGGAACCAGCCACAGGGTATATACATGTGCTCAGGGCTTCACTGAAAACAACTCAAATCCGATCTCATGAGCTGATGGCTAAATTTTGGTATGAACATTTACACCCTGGATGTGGGCTAAAAAGACCGCAAATCAAGCCTTGATTTATTGTTTTGTTGATTTTCTAGATGGGAAAAAGTGATGGAGAAAATACTAGGCATTCAAATTAAAACTAAAAATTTGTAGTGCATACATTTTCCCCTAGAAAGCTGGTTGATAAACATTACCTGCAGTCCCCTTCTTGTGTACCACCATCTCTACAAGTTGCTTCCGTTTCATATTGTCACAATTATTATGGATGAAGGCTGTTTACCTAAGGAAGTTGATTCAAACCAGCAACCTGATACACTCTGCACATGTGCCAGCCTCCCTGCCCCCCCATTACTTCTGTTACCAGGTAACTCAACATCTGGTCACAGTCCCTTACTTCTCATTCTCATTCTGTGAATGGATATATAAAATATTTCCTTTTCCTGATGTCTTTAATAGCTTTGGTAATGGTATCTGTAAATATAATAATCCTATTATTTTGATGAACTTGTGTCAGTACAGTCTCTTCAGAGGTAATGGATTTTTTGGAGGAATTGGCCTTGACACTTGATACTTCTTCATAGTTGAACTAAACAAGTAGTTGAAAAATAACCATTGCATTTTTAAGGTCAATAGACAATATTAAGGACCACATTTCTTTTAGCTGACTGTCAATTGAACCTAGACAAGTTTTCAGATTAAATGAATGTCCTCATATAGCTTTTACCACTCTGTGCAAAACAAAGAAACAAACAAAAATAAAACAACAAAACCTGCAAGGAATTTACCACGTATTTATTCTGCCTAGATTTTTTTTTTAGCACAATATATGTACATGTTATCTACTCTCTTTTCCCCTGATAGAATATAAGCTTCTTTACAATAGACACTGTTCATTTCTGTCTTTGAATCTGTAATATCTGGAACAGTGCTTAGCATATAGTAGGAACTTAGTGAATGATTACTAATTTATTTTGATGTTCAGTTAAATGAACCTGAGTAGAACAGTCCAAAGCATTTTTTGACTTCTTTGCTCTTTTAGTTCAAATGATCATAAATGCAGAGCTTAAAGACTTTAAAGTCCATTGAGTCAAAATTTATCCTTTTATAGATGAAGAAACTGAGTCCATGTGATATTATCTGGCATGTTTGAAGTTTCATATGGGACAGAAAAAGATTCAGAGAGGTCCCATGTTTCTCAATGTATTATGTTTTCCACTGTCACATGGGACCTCAGTAATGAGTGTTGACAATAGTTTAAAAAAACCTGTTATATTTTTTTCTTAGTTTGTCATTATTTAAATTACCAACTATAAAACAATATAGTTTCCCCATCCATCAAATGATATTTCCTCTATAGAACTAGTTGGTATGTCTTTTGAAATGTCCTACTGTCTTGACAAAGTTTCTGAGTTGCTTTGTTTTGCAAGATACAAAACATCTTGAAACATCAGTTACCTTGATAACCAGATATGGCTATTAAATATTAATGACTCTTTCATAAGTAGAAGTTGACTGGAGTAGTGGAGATGGATTTGTAATGAAAACACACACACATATACACTCACAGTAAAGCTAAGGTAGAACATTCTAGCCTTTGAAACCATTACCATAATTATTTCTTTAAAAAAAAACATTTACTTTATTTTGAGCTTAAGAAATTAAATAAGCATTTCCATAACGTAGTAGAAGAGGGTGAAAAAAAGATGATTGTATATGAAACTATAAATCTATCATGTACTACTTGCTTTTCCTTTTAAATATGTAATAAATGTTTTTCTTTTTTTCCTCTCTTCCCACCCTAGAGAGGTTTACCATTAGACCCAAATATATGTATGTGTGGTGTGTGTGTGTGTGTGTATGCATGTGTGTAAGTAAAACTATTCTATACATATTTCTATTTCTCCATTCTTTCTCTGGATATAGATAATATCTTCCTTCATATGTCTTTTTTTGGAGGATTTGTAACAGTAAAAATGACTTTATGTATCCTAATTTGAGTATTTCTAATAGTCAGAATGACTTAGTTACTCAAAGTTGTTCTTAAAACAATATTGTTGTTACTGTATACAATGTTCTCTTGCTTCTGCTCATCTCACTCCATTATTTTGTGCAAGTTATCCTTGTTTTTCTAAGATCATAGAGCTCATCATTTCTTCTAGCACAATAGTGTTCTGTCTCAATCATATACCACAACTTGTTCTACCATTCCCCAAGGGACATTATTATTTTTTATAAGATAACATTACATACAATTACATTTAAGGGAAAACAAATAGTAGGAAGATCATGAAGTTGTAGGTCCTTCAGTTGCAAATAGTTAACACACACTGACAGGGTAGAATGGGTACCCTAAGAATGGTGTGAATTCATAAGGGAATGGAAGGTTTAGGAGGATGAACACTGGACCAAGAGAGTGAAGAAATAACAGGCATGCCACAAACATTCAGTAGGAAAATCATCATCTATCCTTTAGTGACAATTAGGAAGATTAATTTAAATAATATTAAGAAAGAACCCCTCCCTCTAGTGGTGGTTATCAAACCTCAATTTATGCTTCTGTTTCTCTTACAACAAACCTTATAACCAAACCAAATCAAAATATGACACTCACAATGGATCACAATATTTCTGATATGGTCTGATTAAGGCAGTATACTTATCAATGATCACATTACTTATTTTGGATACTATATTTCTATTAACAAATTCTAAGATCACATTAGTTTGTTTATTTTTGCTTCTGTTCTATTTTACCTATGTTAAGCTAACTTCTATCAATTAAAAAAAATAATTTCTGTCTAGTCAATTTTTTCCTATCTTGCAGCCTAGTGTAGTATTTAATATCTAACTGTATTAAATTTTATCTAAGTAGATTTTCACGATTATTTTTAGCAATTTGAGTTTTTTTTTAAATATTAGACTTTATTATATGTTTTAGTGATTATTTGGTGAAACTCTTTAATTGTGTAAGTGGAGAGCCCTTAAAAGTTGACTTGCTTATAGTTACATAACTTTCCAGTGGCAGACATGGCATCAGAAGTCATATCTTTGCTCTCCTCGTCCTAGCTTTCACGTCTATGCCAGTGTCAAATTCAAATAGAAACATGGCCACTAAATCACACGTAAGGATACCTATGGGCCCATACTGACTAGGAAAACTACATTTAACATTATCTTTTATTTTATTTTTGTATAGTTTGTTAAACATTTTCCATTACTTTTTAAACTGCTGCAGGTCACAGTGGTGGGGGTGGGAGGGCAGTGGGCTGCAAGTTTTGACATCTCTGCATAATGAATATCAAGTTATCTATTAAAATCTTATTAAAATATCTATTCCATATATAACAATTTTAAAAATACAGAGACAAATTGAATGCATACTTACTATTACAACGAGCTTGCAGTCTAGTACAGGTATTTATTTATTGTATTTTGGAAATCCACCTTGAAACAAAGACCTTAATTTTATTATCAATTGCAACAATTTCTGCTAGAGATTTTAACTGTATTGAAGAGTTTCTAAAAAGATTTTCTCCCCTCAAATAATTCCACATGCAAATCAACATGAATAGGTGTGCTATAGTGTGCGTGTGTGTGTGTGTGTGTGTGTGTGTGTGTGTGTGTGTATGAGTATGTTTACATGTATACATGAAATAGTATGGTACAATGGAAAGAACTCTGGTTCTGGATTTGGAGGACTTTGGTTCAAATTGAATGAGACCCCATTTCCTCATCATAACATGAGGTGGTTGGACTAGATGGTACCTAAGATTTGTTCTAGCTTTTAAAAATTATAGTCCTTTGTTCTTTAACAGAGGCGCCATTTTGAAGAAGGAGGAGAGCTAGCTTTGGAACCAAGATGACATGGGTCCAAGTCCTGCCTTTGATATACATGGGCTAGGTGATCATGTCAAGAGTCACTTAGCCTCTAATTGCTCTAGGCAACTAGGACCATATGATTTAAAAAGAAGGTTCCAATTCCCATTAGTAGAAACAATTTTCCTTATCTAGGGAGTTTCCTGAACTGATAAAATCACAAGTATAGGCTTCATATATACCATAGACTAATTTAATGTTTTGTTTATGCCTTCTCTCCTTAAATTTTTTTCTCTGTTTTATGAAGTGATATTAAGGAAATATTCCTTATAGTTTTCCATTATTTTCCTCCTTTATGTATATTGAAAAAGTCCATTGGAATATAGTTGTGTTTTGGTAACAGTTTTTAAATTCAATAATAGTTGGAGAAATATGGTGCATTCAGATAGTTCAAAGAATGCTTGTCACCAGGCTGTGGTAGAGGTTTTAACCTGGGGCCCAAACCTTACTGTAAATTATTTTGATAACTGTATTTCAATATAATTGGTTTCTTTTGTAACCCAATGCACTTTATTTCATGCATTTAAAACTTATTCTGAAAAGGAGTTTATAAGTTACATCAGACAGCCAAAAGAATGCGTGACATGCAAAAAAGTTAAGAACCTCTAGTCTAGGAGCTGAGCAGTTCTTAGAGTTCACACCATGCTATTTTGCACCAAGTTATCAACCTTTAGTGTAGAACTGCAAGGACTTCCCATAGGACTTAATAATATTTTGTATTTTTGTCCATTTCAAATATAGGAAGATCACTATCTATCTACCTATCTATATCTATATCTATATCTGTATCTATATCTGTATCTATATCTATATCTGTATCTATATTTATATCTATATCTGTATCTGTATCTATATCTATATTTGTATCTATATCTATATCTATAACTATATCTATATCTGTATCTGTATCTATAGCTATAGCTATATCTATATCTGTATCTATATCTGTATCTGTATCTATATCTATATCTGTATCTGTATCTGTATCCGTATCTATATCTATATATAACTATATAGAGAGATATATGTGTGTGTATATTTATTTTGTGTGCATGTATGTGTGTGTGTGTGTGTGTGTGTGTGTGTATCCAATGGGAGTGTAAAAGGAACTAAGATCAAAATCATTAGTTCTTTTATTCTGGCCCAAAATTTATCTATAGGGTAACCAGGAAAACTAGAAGTATGAAAACAGCCTTGCCTCCAAATTCCACATAGTTCCTCAGCCGTTGTGCTAAGTGGAGTCCCTGGTATATTTCAAAGGTTATGTAAATTAACGAGCAGGAATATTGCAGGAATATCCGCATCAAATAAGAGACAGATCAGGAAGCCAAGCCTCCGAGGATAGAAAAGCAGTTCATAAGGCAGATAATCATCCTGAGGACTTGTATTGGCCATCACTGGCAGCCTGATTTAGTAGTCCTGAACTATGACTGTAAGAACTTATCACTGATACTATAGACAGAGTGTGCCTAGTAGCTGCACAGCAGATTAGAGCAAAGAGTAACAGAGGACCCAAAGAGGCTGTGTAGATGAAGGTAAGCAGATAGTAACCAACCCGATAGTAGGCCTATCAGGAGCACTGGAAATATCCCGTAGCAGTAGAGATGTCAAGCAATAACAGGACACAACAATGGAAATGTCCGACAGAGAATAGCAGATGACCCCAGCTCAGCAAGGAAAGCAGCTTGCTCAATAACAGCATCAGAGAACGTCTGAAGCTCTGCAACACTGCCATGTGGGTAGTACCAGCCATAGGGGGCATTTGTGCACTCTGTCCATCTACGTTTCTCCACATCTTATCCTTCTGTTTTTCCTTCTCTTCTGGTTGTACGGTAACTGAAAGAGTTTACTTTTGTTATTAAGAGAGAAATATTTGTTGTCACTTATCTTGCTCTGCTACTTCCTTTGAAATAACGTACAAAACCATATACGTGTGCATACACACATGCATATACACACGTAGAGGCGAATGGACTAAAGTTTTGGGGGATTTTGAACCACAACCATAAAATCCTTCAAACCTGTGGTAGAAATCAGAGGGCTCCACATATGAAGGGGGTCCTGGATGATTCAGAAGGGCCACTCTAGCAAGTAAAATAAAATCAGGTATAACCTAGGGGCCAAACTTCTGGACTTAACTTGGTTTTCCAACAGCAGTCACATGGTTTGTCACTGGACCCATACTGCAAGCCTTTTCAGCTTGGCAGTTGTTGCCACAGTTTTCATTTCCTTGGGATGCCTGTGAAAAGCCACAATCCATTCAGTGATGCATCAGATTTGGACCTTTATGGAGGACAGTTGATCATTGTTTAAGGATAGAGACAGGACCTGTGATTTCAGTGTCCACTTCAGAAAACTTCTAACACTGTGGGTTGATACTTTCTCTTTAATCAACAATCTTAGAGAATTGCCTAGAGCAATGAAACTTTTAATTCATTGCCCAGAGTCACAAAGCAAGTATGTGTCAAAGGCAGAAGTAGAACCTTGGGTCTTCCCAGCTCCGAAACTAGCTTCCTAGTCATTATACTATGGCTGCCTCTCTAGATTATTATATTCCATGAGCCAGAACATTTTATAAACAAACAAACTAAAAAGAAAATTAAAATCAATTCATTTTCAGTTGTAGTCATTATAACTACCAATTTCAACCTGATTTATTTTGTTTTTGCTTTTCTTTTTTTTTTGTTAGAAATCTGATCAAGAATTTCTGGAGAATGTAGAGATGAGAAACAGTGCTCCTTAGATTGGCTGTGAGGTTAAATATCTTACAAGAAAAGAATCATATATTCAAATTATGATAATCATAACCAAGTAGGTTATAGAAAGGAAGGCCCCATCTCGTCCTCCAGACTTCTGACCAAAGAAAGCAAAACTCCACCTCTGATTGTCCTCCATTGTCAAGCAGCTAAAATGTCATTTCAGAAATGGGGAGACAAATCAGGTCCTAAGCCTGAAATCTTTGTTTCAGGATTATCTGGGGGGGTTACCTCACTACGACACTTTCTGTGATGCACATCACTCCTCTCCAACTTAAAGCTTTTCCTACTTGGATTTTTCCTCAACCACTATGTTTGCATCTCTCCTTTGTCCCTAACTATGTTGGAACATCCTTTAATAGGATGCCCGTTCCTTTAGGACAAGGAATGTATCATATTTTCTCCTTTGATACTCCAACTCACCTATCATGATACCTTGCACTTAGTGTCCAATACATTTTTTTAAAAATTTGTTAAATTGATCTTGAAGATGACATTGGAAGATTAATTTGATGCATAATTCAATTCAATTTAAGGAGCACTTTTAAAGTACCTACTAGAGGCAAAACACTGCCCACGTTTGAGATTCACACATCTGGAGCTGGAAAGGAGATGGGAAACAACTTTCATTTTCATAGATGCCAAACCCAAGGCATGGGGAGGTCAAGAGACTGGCAGGTGCTTAGGCAGGTAATAGGTAACAGAGTGGAATGAGGAAGCTAGAGCCCAGGGAGGACAAGGAATTTACTGATGTAATAAGCAAATGGCTGGGGGTGTTTGAATCAAGGGTTTGTTTTATTTTTTTTACTCCCAAGTCAATGCTCTTTTCACTAGTCCAGGTGTGCGGAACCTGTGACTTCGAGGCGACATGTGAACCTTTAGGTCCTCATGTATGGGCTGGCACTTTGACCAAATCTAAACTTCACAGAACAAATCCCCTTAAGAAAAAAGTGTGCTTTGTAAAACTTGGACTCAATCAAAAGGCCACATTGAAGGACCTAGAAGGCCACATGTGGCTTTGAGGACACAGGTTTCCCATCCCAGCACTAGTCAATGGTGTCTCCAAAACATAGAACACTGAAAGCTAAGGATCAAAAGCCAATGATTCTGATTAAATGTTAATACAAAGAAAGAGGATTAGAATAGTAATATGATATTGCAAAAAGTATCATAGATCAATTATAGGATAACTATGTTGGAGAAACAAGGTAAAATATACAATTTAAAATAAAAATATATAAATATATAATTTAAATACAAAATGTAATTTATACATATTTTTGTAATATATTAATACTCACGCCAACTCTACAGACATTTTACAAAGAATAAGTCAAGGTAAGTAGTACAAATATTTTTGTTGTTGTTCAGTCATTTCATTTGTGTCTGACTGTTCATGACTGCAGTTGGGGTTTTCTTGGCAGAAATGCTGGAATGGTTTGCCATTTCCTTCTAGAGCTCATTTTATAGATGAGGAAACTGAGGCAAACAGTGTCACATAGCCAACAAGTGGACAGTCCAATACTCTTTCCATATTTTTTCCATTACTCTTAGGAGCTAAACTTATGCAACTCTGCATGAAAATCAAATTTAAAAACAGGTTCTAAAATATTTTTGTCCTTTTAATGTTAGTTTCCCAAAAGAAATGTAAAAAAAACCCCACTTTATTTAGCCTACATTTTATTACAAGTTATCAATCAACAAACATTGAGTAAGAGTCTACTATCTGGAAAACACTGAGACAAAAATCTTGATCATTGTAAATGGGGCTTTGGTAAAATAGACCTATTAATGATTTTTTTTCTTAAATCA